TTCAATCTGGATATTGCTGGTCTGCTTTTTGTTTTCTCGATAACGTGCTGTTGTTGTCGGTAAGTTGGTTAGCTAGTCTGTCAGTTGTATTTACGGTGTTGTGGTTTGTAGTTTTTTGTGTCTTTTAATGGATTAGTTGTCGTTGGTTGGTCGGTTGTCGGTTAGTGGTGTTAGTTGTGGTTCGTATTTTTGTGGTCGTTGGTTGGTTGGTCGTCGATTAGTGGATTAGTTGTCGTTGGTTGGTCGGTAGTCGGTTAGTGGTGTTAGTTGTGGTTCGTAGTTTTGTGATCGTTGGTTGGTTGGTTGGTTGGTCGTCGATTAGTGGATTAGTTGTCGTTGGTTGGTCGGTTGTCGGTTAGTGGTGTTAGTTGTGGTTCTTAGTTTTGTGGTCGTTGGTTGGTTGGTTGGTTGGTTGGTTGGTTGGTTGGTTGGTTGGTTGGTCGTCGATTAGTGGATTAGTTGTCGTTGGTTGGTCGATTGTCGGTTAGTGGTGTTAGTTGTGGTTCGTATTTTTGTGGTCGTTGGTTGGTTGGTTGGTCGTCGATTAGTGGATTAGTTGTCGTTGGTTGGTCGGTTGTCGGTTAGTGGTGTTAGTTGTGGTTCGTATTTTTGTGGTCGTTGGTTGGTTGGTCGTCGATTAGTGGATTAGTTGTCGTTGGTTGGTCGGTAGTCGGTTAGTGGTGTTAGTTGTGGTTAGTAGTTTTGTGATCGTTGGTTGGTTGGTCGTCGATTAGTGGATTAGTTGTCGTTGGTTGGTCGGTTGTCGGTTAGTGGTGTTAGTTGTGGTTCGTAGTTTTGTGGTAGTTGGTTGGTTGATCGTCGATTAGTGAATTAGTTGTCGTTGGTTGGTCGGTTGTCGGTTAGTGGTGTAAGTTGTGGTTCGTAGTTTTGTGATCGTTGGTTGGTTGGTTGGTTGGTCGTCGATTAGTGGATTAGTTGTCGTTGGTTGGTCGGTTGTCGGTTAGTGGTTTCAGTGTGGTTCGTAGTTTTGTGGTCGTTGGTTGGTTGGTTGGTTGGTCGTCGATTAGTGGATTAGTTGTCGTTGGTTGGTCGGTTGTCGGTTAGTGATTTCAGTGTGGTTCGTAGTTTTGTGGTCGTTGGTTGGTTGGTTGGTTGGTTGGTCGTCGATTAGTGGATTAGTTGTCGTTGGTTGGTCGGTTGTCGGTTAGTGGTGTTAGTTGTGGTTCGTATTTTTGTGGTCGTTGGTTGGTTGGTCGTCGATTAGTGGATTAGTTGTCGTTGGTTGGTCGGTAGTCAGTTAGTGGTGTTAGTTGTGGTTCGTAGTTTTGTGATCGTTGGTTGGTTGGTCGTCGATTAGTGGATTAGTTGTCGTTGGTTGGTCGGTTGTCGGTTAGTGGTGTTAGTTGTGGTTCGTAGTTTTGTGGTAGTTGGTTGGTTGATCGTCGATTAGTGAATTAGTTGTCGTTGGTTGGTCGGTTGTCGGTTAGTGGTGTAAGTTGTGGTTCGTAGTTTTGTGATCGTTGGTTGGTTGGTTGGTTGGTCGTCGATTAGTGGATTAGTTGTCGTTGGTTGGTCGGTTGTCGGTTAGTGGTTTCAGTGTGGTTCGTAGTTTTGTGGTCGTTGGTTGGTTGGTTGGTTGGTTGGTCGTCGATTAGTGGATTAGTTGTCGTTGGTTGGTCGGTTGTCGGTTAGTGGTGTTAGTTGTGGTTCGTAGTTTTGTGGTCGTTGGTTGGTTGGTCGTCGATTAGTGGATTAGTTGTCGTTGGTTGGTCGGTTGACGGTTAGTGGTGTTAGTTGTGGTTCGTAGTTTTGTGGTCTATCGTGGTCTGTTGTCGGTTAATGGTGGTAGCTTATGTTCGTTGGTTTGTGTTATTTTGTTTGTGATATGTTTTGTTTACTGTGTACATATACACTTATGCTACACACTTATCTGATTTTCACCATTTCTGGTCATCTAGCTGATGGGTCCTCTAGCTGATGGGTCCTCTAGCTGATGGGTCCTCTAGCTGATGGGTCCTGTAGCTGATGGGCCCTGTAGCTGATGGGTCCTCTAGCTGATGGGTCCTCTAGCTGATGGGTCCTCTAGCTGATGGGTCCTCTAGCTGATGGGTCCTCTAGCTGATGGGTCCTGTAGCTGATGGGTCCTGTAGCTGATGGGTCCTGTAGCTGATGGGTCCTGTAGCTGATGGGTCCTGTAGCTGATGGGTCCTGTAGCTGATGGGTCCTCTAGCTGATGGGTCCTCTAGCTGATGGGTCCTCTAGCTGATGGGTCCTCTAGCTGATGGGTCCTCTAGCTGATGGGTCCTCTAGCTGATGGGTCCTATAGTTGGTGTGTCCTCTAGCTGACGGGTCCTCTAGCTGATGGGTCCAGTATTTAATGGGTTCTCAAGTTAAAACGGTCCTTTAGTTGATGAAGCCTCTTGTTGATGTTTCCTCATGTTTGATTTTCTTGTTGATGGGTTCTATTGACTACGTAGTGACGATGTTAAAAAATAAACAGTCCTTGCTTATTCCACGAACAAATCATTATCCACACACAGAATCCACACAACTTTGCCCATTTAAATGTGTGTACCAAAGATAGTTACGTTATACAGTTGAGCTAGTTTATCTTGTGAGGTCTTTACAATAGCCAACACACTGCAAAAAAAATTCCTACATCAATAATTAACACAACCGGCCTGTTTTCACAAGAAAGGGAAATAGTTGTTGAACACACCATGCCATGGGTTTTGACATGCGTGTTGTTTCATTTATCTCCCCTCCCCTCTCGGTTGTCCTTGCCACCAGTAGTTTCCCTTTGACCATCTCCCATTGGTCGTCGCGTGAACACGAGCTCAGCCACCCATACGTCAAAACACACCAACACATGTTAACCTTGCACTAGACACTGTCCTACACCCATCGAACATACACGAATTTTACACCATCTCACTACACATTGTTTACACGCAGAACTTTCACGTACACACAAAACTCCGTCATCACACAACCTACCCAACTGTAGTCACCATACAACATATACATATATCAGTATCTAAATATTTGTTAACCTAGCTTAGATCTTTTTAAAACTGTTTTGTATAACTAAAGTATCTATCAACATTGTGAAGTACTAAGGGTATAATTCGGAATTCTTTCTCGTAACTTGTTTTAAAAATGTAATACTACATCACACAAATCCAACACGTTTCAATTTGCATTATTTTCTTTGAATTGTTTTAAACCGAAGGTGGATTTTCCCCCATACTTTAAATTTAAGAATGCTTCTTAAACACTTAAACAGCTCACGAAGAAAGAGAGAACTAGTCTTTGAAACTTGATGTATTTTATTAGATAAGTAAGATGCCTCTAACGAGGAGCCTTATTTTACTTATTTTGTAAGCTCTCCCCCCCCCCCACCTTTCCACACCCAAACCCAAACTACTCGCCCCATCAGTTTACCATAGTATGGGTGGACAATGGTTGAATTATAAATTTAATATTTGATTTTAATATTACGTTTCAGATTGTCTGCGGGGGGAGGGGGGGGGGGGGGGGGGGGGGAAGGGGGTTCGGCATGACGGTGGCCGGAAAGAACCGCAAAGGAAAAAAGCACAACGGAAAAAAGCGCAAAACAAAAAGCGCAACGGAAAAAAGCGCAAAAAGAAAAAATACTGGGATTGCGATTATTAACTCGTCATTTCTGGATGGATGTGTGTCCGCAGCCTTTAAGTCGTATCTCCTCCTCAACGAAGCAATATCGAGGACTAGTTCCAAAAGCAAATATGTTAAGCAAGTTCCGAGGATGATTGTGGGCCAAAAAAATTCCGGAATTCCTTCCTGGATTTCCCGGAAAAGCCAAAAAACCTCAAACAAATGCAGTTTTTGCTCCATATCTCAGCAACCAGACCACTTAGCGACTTGAAACATTTACCAATCGATTCCTGCCATAATTTAGAACAATATTGCCGAAGAAAGTTTTCAAAAATATCCTTTCGTTCGGTCACAAAATGTTTTTTAAAATTATTTAAACTGAGCATCGTGTAGGCCTAGGATGATATTTTAAACTGAGCATCGTGTAGGCCTACTCGTTAAAATAAAACTATTTCCGTTGATATTTTCTATTACCCCCTACACGTCCGCATATTTTTTTAAATCTCGTTAATAAATATTTTTTTCTATTTTGTTTTGAATTATTAAAACTACTTGTGTTGCATTATTTATTTGCTGAATATATGATTTATCTCAATTTAAAATTGTTATGGATAACATAAGGAAATTGCGCTTAAATTGTCACTAGACTTTTTATTAACTTGTTTGCCACAAACGCCATAAGGTATTTAAAACGCTTCTAAATTTCATGAAATTTAGTGCAGTGGTATCAAAATTATTTAGTTTTGAAAGTATGTTTTGTAAGATTTTCAGTTGTCTTTGGTTAAAATTTCACGGAAACAACATGTAATGACAAAGTGAACTAACACTTCAACCAACTTAAGTACCCGTGATTCAATGGTACCATTGAAAACCCTTGGGTTTATTTTAAAGACATGTATGGCTTATATATATTGATAAGGAAAAAGAAGAGTGCCCTTCCTGCAGCTGAGGTTGAATTTGTTTCTTTGAACCCCTAATCAAATGCCCAGCTGCTTTACTTTCTCAGACTTAAGCCAGACAGTCATCCCAGTTGTGTGGATTCAGAGGTCATATGGATTTTGACTGCAGAAAAGAGACTTTGAGCTTAGCGGTTAAGCGAATTATCCTTTAATAATGAAGTTACCCTTTTTGACCTAGTGCTCCATGGGGCAGTTCGCCCAACTCCCTGACCTCAGCACATGAAGGTATAGTGTGTTCATCAAAATACCCAGCGGCCTTATCTTTCCCAGGTATCCATCAGAGCTGGGTGGTCTTAGTGAAACCCTATGGAGCCAAACTCAAGACTTATGAGTTAGCAGTCATGCGTGCCCAACCATCCAAACACTTCACTAACAGTACTTTCAAGTTTAGTTAAAGATAAATGAAAATGAAAACCAAAACATTTATGCATATAGGCCTATCTGTGTTTATGTATTTTCAGGAGTAAAAGAATGTTAAGTAGAAATTCATATGACCAAATGAAATTTTAATGGTAACCAGTAACAAACCAATGCCATTAAATTTTTAAAAAAAATCCTTCAGGATAAAGATCCTTTAAAAATGATATTTTAAAAGAAATATTTGAGTTGACTGTTTTTGTAAGATAATACTTTTAGATGCAGACAGATGAGCTACTGATGATATCCCTATCATGGAACCTTTATTTAATTACTCATATTACTGGTAACTGAACTAATAACTTAATGTTTTATCACATTTTATTTTTTTGTGACCGTAAATTAATCATCCTACATTTTGTTTCGTGCATGTAAATTTTTATAAAATATTCTTTGGTTTCATACTGAATACTACACATATCTCTTATTTCCTTAATGTGATGTGCTATGTTTAAGATTCTTATCACAAAAACCTTGGAATGTGGTTACATATAGTATTTAAAACGCTAATAAAAATTATTAAAAAACCCTTGCAAATGAAGTTAAGAATGTGAGTTCAACATGTTAAAACTCTAAAGCATGAATTTAAAAAAAACATACTTTATACAGGTGGTACATAGATAAAATTTCATAAAGATGGGTGTATTAAGCATATTGCTAAAACATTACTTTGAATCAGTGAATATATTTTTTTATAGGACTAATTTCACTGCCTGATCTCAACAAAACAGTACTAAATGCTTCAAACAAATTGCATCTTATAAAATGAAAAACAAAAAAGGTTCCCTTTTCCCTTTAAAAATCACTGGCCACTATCTTTATAATCCTAGGATAAATGAAGTAATAAACTTTATAAAGACAGTATTTACTTTCTGAAATGACACAACCCAATGTAAAACAAAATAACAGACTCTAAAGAAGTACATTTTAAAACAGTCATTACAATTCTATCCATGTTTAACAATACAATCATAACATTTCATATATAAATAATGGTAATGGTAATATGCAACAAATTGTGGAGTGAATAAATTATTTGGCATTAAAAGAACTTTGATTTGCTCGATGACCTGAGTTTTCTGGGAAGTTGAATGGCAGCAAAGAGAAGCCCACCAGAGTAACCACCTAGCGCTCCAACCACACAAGTCACAGGCCATTCCTGTTCAGCAAAAATAAATAATTATCATTTATATACATGGGAAATAAGGTTGATGTACATGTTATATAGCACAAAAATCATACATTTTTTATCCACCACCCCCATATAACATAAAATATAAAATTTACACTGACACCATACAACAACAATTAACTGTAAACGTTATGCTTGGAACATTGTTCTTCAATAAATGTAGCTAGTGCTAGTATTGCTTCTCACAAAATATATTGTAACTGATTATACATACTATTCCTTAAAGTCTTAAGAATATGAAACATTAAACAGAAAATGAGACGTGGAAATTTTAAAAATAAACCTATGAATAAAAATAAATGAGTTATATAATATGGATATTGATCACTACACCACACCCTTCATATTAGTAATATGTGCTTATCTCAATGTTAATAGTAAATATTCCTTTCACAGCTTACCATCAAACATATTTTTAAAGAGTTAAAATTGTAACTGTGACTATCAATAAAGAAAGGAAGTAAAGTAAGGACTATTTTAGATCTGAAAACACATAGGTCAGATGAAGCATGACATGTGGTCAGTACTTAACACAGCTTCATTTACTTAACCTAAATCCAGGTGCCTATCTACACTTAGCAGCTCAAGAAATTACTACAATTTCAAACTGTGAAAAAAGAAACAATCTAGAACTTGCAATGAGAAACTGAGCTGTAGCTATCAATTCCTACCTGCCATGGTCTATCCCAGTCCAGGGGTATTGGAATAGCACCCAGCCAAGATCCTAGCAAAGAACCAATTGTTGTCATGTAGACAATAGTTTCTATACCAACAGCAGCGCTGTGGAAAATAGTAAATAAAAAGTAATTATCTTGAGCTTACAAGTAAATTACAGTTTGTATATTCACACTTAACACAATTATAATTACAAACACATGTAAATATATATACACCCACTTATGCACATACACTAAAAATCTTTTTACAAAATGTACGAGTCTATTATTAACTTACTCAAATGCAAAAACATCAAGCCAATTAGAAATCTTTGGTCCAAAGAACAAACAGCCAGGAAGGCACACTAGTACAGTCATAAGCATTGAAAAATGAAAGGTTTCAGCAACTGATCTGTAGTCAATAAAAAAGAGGTTTAAAGATATACTCTTTGAAAATTGGATTTTCATAAAAACATAAACTTGATTGTAATTAAAGATATGTATTGAAGTAGGAGAGTTATATTCATTCAGAATAAAGTGTAATTTACTATGTATTTGATAAAAATGGTGGACAAAATAAATCAAAATGGGAGAAATTCAAGGTGCGAAAGTTAACTTACTTTTTTATGTCTACATTTAAAATTTTTAAAAGATAATGAGCAAAAGATTTTAAAAAAAACAACAACAAATTGTGTAAATATTTTAAATTGCATACGTTAAAACTGGGGCTCCAAAACACACTGCAATTGCATGAAATACTATACATGCGAAAAGGAGAATGCCACAACATTTTATTATATTTGTAATCTGTGGATTAACAATTTAAGAATCAAATTGAAAGCCTATTTATTTCTATGTATTATCAAAACAGTGTTTTAAGTTAAGGAGATTTAAAGAAAATTATTTAAAAAAAAAAAAGAGTAAAAACTATTTAACCTGGAAGTGAAACTTCTCTTCAAAACTTTCTGGTCCATAAAAAACAAACAGCAGTGCAGTTAATAAACAGTGAGCAAATGCAGCTGCCATGGAGATTTTGATACCAGCTACAGGGTTAGTGATGACACTCAGTGGGCCATCTGTGACAAGCAGTACTACAGCTGTACCAGCCATGAACAAGGATGAGATGAAAGATGACAGTGACAGAATCAAAATAAATTTTTTGGCTTTACTTGAGTAGGAATGCATGGTTGTTTACTACACTGAAGGTGTCCAAAATCCTGCTAAAATATAAAGGAAAAACAATTGTAAGTTTTAAGGATATTAAAATTAGAAAATACTTTTCTGTTGAGTGTGTTATATTTTGCACCATTTTCCTCCACCCTAAGAAAATGTGATGCTTTGTTTAAACCTTGTTGATTTGGGTGATAGGCCTATGTAAAACATAAAAAATAAAATAGTCCCCCTAAAAGTTTTTTAAGTACATATTTAACTCAATGCAATGAGCCCGCCGGTTGGTCGAAGCGGGACGATCTGTCTGGGATTCAAAGGGTCGATTCTAAATATCATCCGCTGATTTTAATAAGCTAACTACTGTAACTATAAGTAATTAAGTAAGTTTCAAAGGCTTACTTATTAGGCTACTTATTAATATTAATAATATTACTTATAGTCTATAGCAGGGGTATCCAAACTATGGCCCGCAAAGTCCTCTCATCCGGCCTGCTGAGATCTTTTTGTCCAAGGAAAAATCGTTTGTTGGTGATGGCTCAGAATGGCTGAGGAACTTTGCCCAGAAAAATCAAAGACATGCCTGGAAGAAACTGGCCCCCGAACTGAAATTTGATAGTTAATGCTGCCCTCGGACTGAAAAGTTTGGAGACCCCTGGTCTATAAGTATTAATACTTTATAGTATACTACGCCACCACTTACACACTATTTTAGTATTCGAAGTGTCTACTCGGAATAAGATTTTTCGGCAAAAGATAGTTCTGCGCATGCACAGTGACCTATGGCTAGGGTTAGAATGAGGGTTAGGGGTAGGATTAGGGATAGGGTTAGGGATAGGATTAGGGCTAGGGTTAGGGACAGGATTAGGGATAGGGTTAAGGATAGGATTAGGGTTGGTATTAGGGTTCTGCGGTTGTAAACACACGCATGCGCAGTACCATCGAAAACATCGCCGCTAAGTCGTAGTTTCTCTCCATTACGCATGCGTATCGCATGCGTATCTTATTCCGACTAGAATCGGCCTTTAGTATTTTACTAATTTTAGTATTTTACTAACTTCAGTCACAGCTGAGCTTATTAGGCTTATATCTAGTAGATCTATGTATTATCTATCATTCTATCTAGATTCTAGAATTCTAATTTATAAATAAATAAGTTAAGAATAGAAGTAGCAAGAAGGTACGGTCAAGAGACTCGGAGTCAAGTGACTCACTCAAGTCAAGACTCAAAAGCGGGTAGAGTAAAGAAAAGAAGGTCTTTGCAAGGTTTCCGTACGGCCGTGAGTAAAAAAAATCATTCATAAAATAGAAAATAGGTTCTAGACCAAGATCTCAATTCGTGATCTAAATTATAATTAAATAAGGACTAAAAATTTGGGTAAAATTTTGGGTAAACATTTTAAAACAAGTCATATTAATATTAGATCTATTTTGAAATCCACAAACATTCTATTTTTGCCAGATAAATATAGCAAAAAATAAGTCAAAGAATGAGTCTTACAGTGGGTAGATCTAGTATGTAATTAGTCATGGTTGTCATGGAGTGGGTTTTTTTAAAATGTCCATGAATAGGCCAATAGATTCTCTCTCTCTCTCAATAAAAAAGGAAAACCAGGGAAACATTCAAAGTTTGCGCTAAATTATTTAAAAAAATAATCTGCCAATTTGGTATTACTGCACACAAGTAAAAAGTTGAATAGGAATGGGGTAATGTGCTTCCAACTTTTGTAAAAATGGCTGCGCCCTTGTCGGCAAAAATATAAACAAAAGTAGCCTACTAGATCTAGAATCTAGATCTAATTCTAAAAGACTAAATCTAAGTAATAAGTAAGTATACTTATTTTTAAGTAGTAAGTATACGACAGTATACGTACGTACTCTACGTACGTAGTACGTACAGTTACGTACGTTTGTTGAAATTTAGTAGGAATGAATAGTGAATAGGCCTAACGAATTTTATTTAAAAAAAAAAGATTTGCAGTGCAGTTGTGGTGTTGACGTTGTCGGTAACCCAGTTGTCAACATCGGTAATCGTAACGAATCTTAACAATAACTAATAGAATCTAGTAATAACTGTAAATTGTAAATAGCTAGATCTAGATCTATCGACTATCGATCGTTTTAGATTTTTTTGGCACGTAAAATCAGCCGAGACTAGATCTAGAATCTAGATCTAGATCTAGATCTAGTACCTATTCCTAATTTTTCCAGCTTTAACTTTCAGATATTGAAAAAAAATATTCTTCTGATAGTTGAATAAAACAATTTGTATATTATTGTAGGATATTATTTACCACTTTTCTTCTTTTTCAACAACCAGTGAAATAAAGTATTAATTTTATATAAAATGAAAAGTTGCAATTTTATGTAACAATTTTTTTTGTTACAGAATACAAATAATTTTCAATTTTAAAAAACATAATGATTGGAAATGCTGTAAAGGTAACGCTGTACAGTGGCATCAGGAAATATTTTTGCAAATCATGTTTCCGAAACTTGTGCTATATTCAAGCCTATAAACAAGTAAGTGATTTTTAAACTAGTTTGACTTGTTATTTTCTGTTATCTCCCTTAAATGAATTTTTTTTTTACCTGGCATCACTTGACTACAGATTACATACATACATACATACATTAATCCTCATCACTCCCTGTGGAGTATAGGGCAACAACAAATCTCCGCCATTCCACTCTGTCTTGGACGAGCCACTTTAGTTTATGCTAGGTCTTGCCAGTAGCCTGCACTTCTTCTTCCATCTCTCTCCTCCATGTTCCCAGTGGTCTTCCTCTCTTTCGCTTTCCAGACGGAGTCCACTTCAGCGCCATGTTGGGGAGTCTTCTTTTGGTCATGCGTAGGACATGGCCCAGTCATCTCCATCTCCTCATTCGAACTTCTGAAACAATGTCGTTTAATCCTGTCCTTCGCCATATTTCCTTGTTCGTGACTTTGTCGTCCCAAGGTTAAGTTAGGGGCAATTTCATGTGGATGATGTGATATAACAATCTAAACCAAACCTTACCTCATATATATATAAGATAAAATTTGCTACTTGTGAAATCATTTGCATTATTAAGCCTACTATTGTGGTGTTGAGAACATAAACATTAAATGTTTTTAGATAAAAGATATTAGTTGTAGTTTGATTTGTCTTTTATAACAAAAAAATGTTATGTTTGTGTTGTGTATTTCTAAAAAGTTATTGTCAGCTGAGTTGTTATTGAGATTAAAATACTTGCTATTCTGCTGTAAGTTTAGCATCTTACATTTTGAAATGCTATTGCAGATGATTATTATTATTAAATGAGCTGACCCGCGACATATCATACGCCGCTATCTAGTTGTTTTATTTTCTACTTATCAATAATTAATAATTTGTGAATTCGACACTACCCCCCCCCCCCCTGCCTCCCCCTCCACCCAACCCCGCCCAGTGAAAGCAGCCATTTTTAGACGACAATGAAAATATCAAGCAGAACATATTATCTCCCCTTAGTTTCAAATAGTTTAAAAACTAAATTATCTGCCCCTTATAGCCATCACTTATTCGAACCGGCTCTACTATTGTAAACATTCGGGGTGAACCATAGCTCACCTGACAGGTGGGGGTGAGGGTGGTCGCAATATGCCTAGAAAGCGGGATAGGAACGGCTAAGCTGCGTGGTGTCTCGTATGGTCCCCATGAAGAGAATTATATATATAGACTAGAATTTCTGCTTTTGATTTAGTATCGTACATTTTAAATACTATCATATGATTGTGATACTAGTATTTTTGCTTTTAATTCAGTGACTTAATAGTAAAATGATATTACAGTCAAATCATGTGGACTCCAATCAGTTGATGAGAAGGAAGTTTCATACCTCAGCCTTGCTCACCACTGAGAGCTTTGACAAAGGGCACCATGGGGCAGAGCCAGCCGAGTGGGATCAGCCTTTTCAACTTCCTGAACCAGAGCTAGACTGGGACTTCCTGCTGAGTCCCCAGAACACTGAGATGATCTCTCAGAATATTTTGAACAGGAAAGGAATTGGTGATATCCACAAAGTGGTAAGATTTGTATTTGGGTTGGTTTGTAGTTTGTTGGCATTGATCCTATTTTAAACAGTATAGGAATGGGTGATATCCACAAAGTGGTAAGATTTGTATTTGGGTTGGTTGTAGTTTGTTGGCATTGATAGCATTTCAAACAGAAAAGGAATAGACAACATCCACAAAGTTGTAAGGCTGCTGTTTGTTTGGGTTGGTCGTAACTTGTTTAAATCACCTGAGCTGAACGGTTGGGTGACCAAACATATGATTGTTGTCCTGAGAGTCATAGGTTCAGTTCCTGCAGTCCATCTATATTTGCATGGTACATGGTTCTTGTAACAGAAAGTAAAAGGCAGCTGGGCATGATGCAGACCACACAATCCTTTTATTAAACAAGGATGTGCTCCGATTCATCTGCCCTGTGGTCATTCTCATCAGAAATGGTACATTGCTTACATAAGTCCTCAGTCAAAATCATGAACTTTGACACCTGGTGATGTAGCTAGTGCTGACACTTTATACCTGGTTTGAATTTGTTACTGCTGTGACTGTTGCTAGTTTCTTCCCTGGGTTTATTAAAAATAGTAACATGTGACCAGCAGAGAACAAACATTTATAAAGAAAAGGTAGCTCAAGCTATTTTGTGTGATTAGTACTCAGTAGCTGAAAACTAATTTAACAAGTGATTTCCATGACATCTTTTTTTGGTGCAAAGTTTGAACTTAACCATGTTGAACAGCAGCTACTTAGTTTAATTAAAACTGAATTTTTAGAATGGCTGCATTAGCGCCCTGTGTTGTGAAATTTTACCGACTGCGGGTTGTGACATGATAGTCTATTGCATCAGTATAACACATTTGAAATTTGATTATCAAAGTCACCACTATTACAACTAACAAAAGGTTGTCTTAAGACATGGATTAGACTAGTTCACACAACAAGTGACCTGTATAAAATATTAAAAAAAATTTTCCCCCAGATCAATTTGTCACAAGCTGTTACCCAGGAAAAAGATGTAAGTGAATCATCTAAAATTTATTTAAAAAAATTTCAAATTTGTTTCTAATTCTATTCATTAGCTACTATAACAATGAAAATTATCTCATAAAGTGTGCTCTATATTTTATACCAGTGTCTTCTATGACCACAGTAATGGCATTTTTTAAAGAACGAGGCGTTAAGCTATTTACAGTTTGCTCATCAATATCCTAAATAATTTATTCTGGCCATATAGTTAAACCTGATATTCCTACAATAACAAGCTAACACCTATTTCTGAATGTATTTTCATAATGCACAGCTATCTCTCATTGTATTCACATTACAATAATAAACCCCTGTGGACATGATGTTATAGGTTTGGAAATGCAATAGTTAACGTACAATGTCTGAGTTCAAAACTTTGTCACGCCATCTCTTTAATCTCCTGATACACCCCCTCAGTACTTATTATAACCCTTCATCGATTGGGGGATAAAACTTTTGATAAACTCTATCTATTCTTTGATGTCTGGATCATGGGCTTTTAAAAAAAAAAAATTAATCCGTCCTGCGGATAATTTAAAAAAGTTTTTTTTTTATGACAGGTTGCAAAGAAAGAAAAATTGAGACAAGAGTTGGAAGCCGAGGCTCTTGATATCCCTAACAGCAGTCACCCAAATGCTGTGAGTTTTTATTCTTTTTTTTGGGATGAGTAGAAGCTTGGTCAAATACTTTTGTTAAAATAAGGGTAAAAATACAGCAAGATGTGGCTGGGTCATTCAAAGGGAGGCACGCAATACTGTAAATATTCCTATCATTTTTTTTTATCATCATCAGTTCCCGTTTGTGCCCAAGACACATGGGGCAGATGAAGTAGAGTTGATCTGTTTCAGAGACCTTGGCATATGAAGTGATAGTGTGGTCAGCACTATGCCCACTAATTGAGTTAGGTATCCATCAGAGCTGGGTGGACTCATGGACGTTCTACTGATTGAACCTGGATTTGAACTCAAGACTTTTGGGTTAGCAGTCTAGCTCTCTACTTCTATCCCACGCCATCCCTCATTTTACCTTTAGATGTTTGTTATTAACATTGCTTGCAGTGATTTAATAAAAATGTATTTTTTAATTACTTGTGTTTTTTTGTGTCAGATAATTGGTGATGAATCTAAAGCAAGGGTGGTGGAGTTAGTTGGAGTAAGAAAAGGTTAGCAAAATGACATTCTAAATTTGGTGCACATTTAAAAAAGATATGGTCCCTTCAAATACTCATAGACTGCCACCCCATACTAACGTTCACAGATGAGGAGTTCACATGTTTTAAAGTATTTTTAATGTGATTGTCACTATACAACAAATTTCCTTCTCCAGAGTTTGATTACAAGCCAAGAAATATCAGTGAGATCGGAGGGAAAGGGTTAAGAATGTTTCGAGATGAGTAAGTGTTTCATTAGATGCCAGATGTTTATGAACAGGTGCAACAAAGTATATTTTATTACATTATAGCCACCTTTTATTTCTGCTGCCTGGGTTATCCCCCCTCCCCCCTATTCGTGCCCAAGACACATGGGGCTGAGAAGTTGAGTTCATCAGATGACATCGACATATGAAGGGATAAAGGGATAGTGTGGTCAGCACTATGCCCAGCTGCCTTTACTTTTCCAAGGTGAGTTAGCTGCCCATCAGAGTTGGATGGACTCAGGGACGGTCTACTGACCTAAACGTGGATTCAAACTTGAGACTTTTAGCAGTCTAGCTCTCTACCTCTAGGCCACGCTGTCCCATTAACTGGATTATTAAAACATTTTTAAACTTATTCATTGTGCAAAACTTATATGTATGTTTATTTTTTTCTGGAAAGAAACAACAAATTACCTTGTATTGAAGGGTAAAATGTAATAAAGATGGGGCATAAAAAGTAGAGTTTACCTGTTTCTGTGACCTTGGCATATAAAGGGAATTTGTAATCAGCCCTATGCCCACCTTCCCTTAAATTCCTTTATATAAATCAGGCACCCTTGGTAGTCTCAGGGTCGTCCTTTCTGTGGATGCAAGCCTGGGATTTAAACTCAAGACTTTTGAGTTAGCAGCCATGTACTCTACTATATAACCACACTGTCCAGTGTACTGAAGTGTACTTAAAAACTTGATTAATTCAGGAGATGCATTTGTTCTGTATTTAAATTAATTAACACATGACTTGCACTCTTTTTACCTTGGATTTCAGAAATTTGACATTTTCATCTGGGCCAAAGACGTACTATTTAGAAAATCATTTGGCTTACTTAGAGAGAGCTCTTGTGGCCTACACTATTGATAGGCTGTTGGAGAAGGTAGGAATAAAACAAAGCAGAAACATGGTTAAACAAATTGCTTGATGGTATAAAATATAACCAGATGCTGCTTTTCTTTCACACAACTGACCTCTTCTGTCACACAACTGTTACATTTAAACAACTGACAACTTCCCTCACACAACTGGCATTTTTCTTCACACAACAGACTTCTTCTCTTACACACATAACTAACCTATTTCCCCACACAACTGACCTCTTTCCCCACATAACTGACAACTTCCCTCTTACAACTGATATCTTTCCCCACACTCCCCACACAACTGACCTGTTTCCCCATTTTACTGACCTCTTTCCCCACACAACTGACCCCTTTCCACACACAACTGACCTCTTTCCCCACACTCCCCACACAACTGACATCTTTCTACACACAACTGACCTCTTTCCCCACACTCCCCACACAACTGACCTCTTTTCCCCACACAACTGACCTCTTTCCCCACACAACTGACCCCTTATCCCACACAACTGACCTCTTTCCCCACACAACTGACCTCTTTTCCCCACACAACTGACCTCTTTCCCCACACAACTGACCTGTTTCCCCACACAACTGACCTCTTTCCCCACACACTTGACCCTTTTCCTCTTACAACTGACCAGTCAGAGCATTAAATTTATTAACAATTCAACCTAAACCATCCTCATACTTAACAAATTTTACTTTGTAGGGTTTTGACATGATCTCTGTACCTGATCTCTTGCATGCTGGAGTCATCGTGAGTCTTTTTGAATTTTTGTTTTTATCTGCCTAACTTTATAGCACTTTGTTCTAATAATTGTTTAGTTAACATGATATCACACTGATGCCTTTGTGTTTAACTTGTACTGAACATGATTTTGAAATATATTGAAATGCTTCTAGGACAGTTGTGGGTTCAAGACCAGCTCAGGCAGAAGTCAAGTGTACCAGCTGTACCCGCAGTCACTCAATGGTGCCTGTCTGGCCGGCACTGCGGAAATGTCTTTGGCTGGTAATTTATTTAATTGTTTTTGGTTAATTACATTTTGTCTCATTTGTTTATTTAACCATTTTTGTTTTAATTACATTTTATCTCATTAATTAATTCAACCATTTTTTAAAATTTTAATTACATTTTGTCTTATTAATTTATACAACCAATTTTGTTTTAATTACATTTTGTCTCATTAGTTTATACAATAGTTTTTAAAAATTTGTATTACATTTTGTCCTCATTAATTTATTCAACCTTTTTTTTTTATTACATTTTGTTCTCTGTAATTTAAACAGCCATGTTTGTGATGTTATGTTCTCTGTAATTTTTAATAATCAAATATAGAGTTATATATTTATTAAGCTTGTCATTGAAGACCATTCTAACTTAGAAGTTACTGAGCTAGGTTCCATAATTTCTTTGAATGATTCACTATGTTGTTTAAAAGAAACATGGGCATACATGAAAAATGTAACTACAGGTGGTAGTTGTCTGCTACTTTGTGTTCCTTAACACAATACACAGTGTGATGCCATTAAATATTTTACTATGACTTGACCTCTGTACACAACATTTGTGTGTCCTCAGTGCTTTGGTATGAGAATAGTATGTCAATCTCAACACTTTCAACTCACTACTGTGAAATAAAAATTAAACATTTTTTTTATGTAAATCATTCTTGTATTGCTAATTAAACTACTTAGAGCCTGTTTTTCTTTTCTGTTGAAGGTTTCTTTATGAATGAAGTTATTCCGTTTGATCAGTTGCCCAAAAAGTAAGTCTCATTGTCCCCCATCGTGCTTGTACTGGTATAGAAGTTTCTAGTAGTGTGGTATTTGCTTTATCACTTCCGCCATCGTAAGAGAGATGGTACAATTTTTAAAAATTATTTCCATCTATTCTAGAAAATTTTTCACAATCAAATTAAAAAATGAATTTGACTTTTAAAATCCTTTTATCGTCTAAACAGGCTTTTTTAAAAAAAGAATTGACTCTAAGTTTTAAGTAGGCCTAGTTGTAATTAAAAAATAACTTCTTCTGTTGTGATAGCTTAGTTATGGAGGTTGATGATTTATTTTCCTTGCGTCTAGGGTGATGGCGGTCAGTCGATGCTACAGGGCTGAAGCAGCAGAGAGAGCTGTGGAGAAAGGCCTGTACAGAGTCCATCACTTCACCAAGGTACCCTTTTTAAATGTTTTTTTTGTAAAGTTTAGCATGGAATATGTTTAACTGATCCTGGCCACTTAAGGCAGCACAGTGAGGTTTTCAAGCAGGAACTTATCTGAACATTGAGACATGGAACAGAAAATTAGGCAATGCTGGAATTATTTTTTACTTGACCTTGAATAGGGGCATTGAATGTTGGTACTGCTTAACTTGATCTAGATTAACACTAGAATATTATATTTACTTGCATTTTATAAAACAAAAAAAAAACTGATATATTTGTTTATGTTGTTTGATTAAAAACTAACTTTTTTTCTTTCAATCCTTTTCTTCTTCTTTTGCCATGGTTAGGTTGAAATGTTTGGACTGACAGCCTGTGAAGATGGAACAGAAAGTGAGCAGCTCTTGCAAGAGATTTTAAACATTGAGAGGGATCTGTTTTCTGATTTAGGACTGCATTTTAGGCAAGCTCCATTTTTTAAATGTATTGTTTCGTTTTGAATTTTCCAGGCTCAGTTTTAAACTTTTCTTTTCAAAATTTAACTTTTTCCTTTTACAGCTATAAACCTCTGTTATTTACTCTTTCCACCTTAGATATATGCATTTATTTGCATTTAAAATGAACTGCCCTTTAAATAAAAATTAATGATATGAAAAGAATCCCAACTAAATATATAGGTTTACAATATTTTTGGGTAATTTTGTAATGACTTACAACACTAAAACATTATGTCAATACATTTTTCTTAAAAATTAGAATAAAAAATTAATAACTGGATAAATAAATCAATTGTATGATTAGTTAATTAATCTTTTTTATTGGCAACAGAATTCTAGACATGCCAACACAAGAACTGGGTGCACCAGCCTACAGAAAGTTTGATATAGAGTCCTGGATGTGTGGCAAGCAGATCTGGGGTGAGGTAAGTCTACATGGCATCTCATTTGTTTTGTTTTTTTTGTTTACTGGCAGGCAGATCTGTGGTGAGCCTACATGGTCTCATTTGTTTTGTTTTTTTGTTTACTGTTTAGGTATGTGATTGGCAAAGCTTAGATGCCAGAAATGGACAGGCAAAGAAGAAAAATAAATTGTATTTTGTACATTTTAAAGATTTCACTGAAATTGTCACATAGTTCCAGATCTCACTGAACTTGATTATCACATTGTTCCAGATCTCACTGAAATTGATTATCTTTTTGTTTCAGATCTCAAGCTGTTCCAACTGTACAGACTACCAGTCTAGGAGACTCAACATCAAGTACAGATCTCCATCTGGCACACTCAAACATGTCCATACGGTAATTAATTCATGAACCATTTAATTAGCTGAATGCACACACCATAAATAATCAAGGAAGTATTTTCAACATTGTAAATTAAAATTGTTTGGTTGCAATCTTGTAACTAATTATGAACTGTTTTGATTTGAATGTAATTAACTTTATTTGGGCTCATACATTTCAATACCATAATTAATTAAAGAAGCAATTGTTTTTATTACATGTAAGTTTCCAGAACTGATGATTTTAGTACCCAGTTAACACAATTTGTTAACACAATATGTTAGTTCACAATTTGTTAGTTGTTTGTCAGTACACACTCAAAGCTGTGATATACTAGGGGTGACAACTTGTGGTTTTCTCTTGACAGGTTAATGGAACAGCTTGTGCTGTGCCTAGGATGATTATTTCTATATTAGAACAAAATCAGGAAAAGGTAACTACCCATTTTAAAATTTCTGAAACCAGAGTTATTTCTTATGCTGTTCAGCATTGGATATTTATAATGTTTACACCTTCTGATTGGTTTTAAAAAAAAATGTTTAAAATCACATTTTAAAATTGCCCAGCATTCAAATGTTAATCTTTATGATATTATTTAGACAAATTATACCCAAAAAAAATTTTGTTTAAAAAAAACTTCATTTAAAAAAAATATTTTTCAGGGTAGAAGATTGGCTCTGCCTGAAGCATTGCATCCCTACTTAAATGGGAGGAAAGAACTGATAGCTGAGATGAAGAGATCTACGTACACGTACATCAAAACACTGCGAACTGTATGATATTTAACTAACTGACAAGAGAACAACCTACTGCATTGGATAAACTATTGCCACAACTTTTAATACAACTATTGATACAGCTCTTTTGTTTGTGTACTGTGTAAATACAATTAAAATATTCAAATGTTATTTAAACTGTGAGTCTGGTTATTTTATTCCCTACCCTGGTATGGTCGTATTTTATTGTGTTTAGATTGTAAAAAAGAATGTTTGAATGTAAGCCGAAATAATTTTAGTTAGGATCAGGCAACAAAGGGGTTGAACATTTTTAAGTATGTTTGTCATCAATTATCATAAGCACTTCCCACTACATATTTCATGTTTTTCAAAGCCCTCCTCTTCATAAAACCACACAGAAAGTAACCCAAAAAACATCCCAGTATAGACATTTAAATATAGTTGTTTATTTTTCAAGTATTTATTGATCTACCAATTGTTTAAAAACGATTGATGTGTTGCCCAAAATAAAAATCTGGAACTTTACACAAAACAAGGGAAATAATCTATATTTTTGTCTACTTAGAAATGTCAATGTTTTATCCTTGTTATTTCCCTTTGACTATAAATTGAATTCTATAAAATTAGAATTGTACCAATAAAATTATCGTTCTATTTTGAATCTCAAAAACAAAAATAAAACAAAGAAAAACAACGATTGAATAGTTTAGCATAGTAAGCTATATTTTGAACCAATTAAAAAAGAAGGTTAATAAAAATTTATATAGATGACCGACTTTTCGAACTACCACTGGTAGTACCAGGCACAAGCTGAAAATGTTTGTCAGGCGAAGACAACTAAGCATTACTTTGTGTTTAAGGTAATTCATAGCTTACTTCCCTTGTGTTGCAAAAGTACTTAGTGAGCGTGAAATATTATTATTAGATTTAAAAAAAAAAATATTGAGTCTGTCACTAATTAATTTATTTTTTCATTTTTTCGCGTTTGATATATAATATATTTAAAAAAGCATAATCTTAAGAGTTCAGTCTCAAATCTATCCCATGAATAAAATACTTTTAATTTTTTAAAAATGACACGTAGATTCTAGTACGAATTAGCATGAACTAACCCATGATTTTTACGCAGACCTTTTTACTACAAAAACTTAACATAAAATAATTTTCAATAATTCTAATTTTTGGGGGTTAATTTTATCTATTAAAATATAATGCAACTCTTGGTGTCTTAAAATTTCAGATAAATACTTTGGTTAGCTCCCTTTGATCAACCCCTTCCCTCGTTGAAACGTCCCCATGTGGCTGTCTCGGCCTTGAAATGAGGTCAAGCTGATCTTGCATCATTGTTACGTGCGGTGTGTGTTGTAACGACTGACAGTACAGCCCCGCGGCGTTCCCGCTGTTATGCCAATCCCATCTAGATTTTATGGTTAAGGGGAACGGTGGCCGTTGTAGTGCGGTGTGGCGGGACGGTAGGGGTGGGACCGGAACGAGGGCCAGAAGCAGTAGATACCAAAGGACCATTCAGTCCCCTTCAACGTAACGTTACGCGTATAATGGTCACTCTAACCGTTAGGGGATAGCTCGAGGGATACTTGTTGCTGCCAAGCAAACGGTGAATCAATGACTTGTAAACGGTGTCCAACGGTCCCCGGAAGTGTACTTATCCCTCCCCCACCCGCTTCAATAGAAACAAACTATTATTCTGGTAACAGTAGACTTAAAGTTTAAATATATATTTTTTAATGTACCAGTTTAAATATAGATATTATTCATACTCATAACACCGTTGGCATTTAGTAATATTTATACAAGAATCTAACCTTTCCATATGTTATTTATAATATAATTTGTTAAAATATCCACTTCATTGCTCTCTTCCCTACTTTTCAACACACGTTTGTGTAAATAATACGATTTCTTTGTTATATAAAACCTCTGTGGCCACTTGTCTGTTTTAGCGAGACCACGAAGACGACCAAGTGCCGGAATCGTGTATCCGTCGACCGCACTATGATCGTTCCGCAGTCACCCCTCACTGTATAGCACTGCATGCCTGTGTGTGTCTGGTGAAAATTCTCACGCGGGAGAGAGGGAAAAAATAGCGAAGCATCTGTGTTTAATTTAGTGAGCTCGCAGAGGGGGCAGCCTCTTGAGAAAGTTGTTTACCACTGTTGATCCACCCCTACAATCTGAAACGCACCACGCTCGTTTTTTAAGCGATAGCGTATATTTATTATTATATTCTGTCTTTTCACTCTATTCATTAAAAATGGTTTCCTGGTGAACTTCAAAAGTATGCTCTCTTGAAATGAGGTTGGATATAGGGTCGTTAAAAAAAAGCTAGTTTTGAAATGTAATTTGAATAAAATATGAATTCAGAAATGAAATGTACCGAATTCACCCCTTTACGCAATTTAAAACGGACCCTAAATTCAAACCTTATAGGCCTAAAAAGTAACAACCTACCACCCCTATAATTAAATGGGAAATAGCCTCAGATGTGGCGGGAAACTCTAGACCCTAGTTTTACTTTTTTTCAATATACATTTTTTTTCGTTCGACTTCATGCTTTAATATTTAAGTTATTTAAGAAACGTAACAGAAACTACAATATTGTAATTGTCTAAATTAGTCTAGTAACCTAACTCGTTTATAGTATAATTGCCGCTACTCATTTATAACATTTTACTACGCACATGCAATACCCTTTGGGCCTACGTCACAAGCCCATATAACTTTTCGCATTGAACTTGCCATGCGGTCTAACAGATTTAGGCGCCAATATTCTAAGCAGCAAGAAGAGGGGGTTTTGAACGAACGTGAAACAAACTATACAGTAGTCTTTGCTGATAACAAGGCACCAACGCGTCAGCCAGCTCGCCAGCCAAGTCAATCGAAGAGAAAAGCGAAAAGATTACGCATGTTCAGGTTCCTGTGACCTTGCACCGTCGTGTTACTGCTCCACGCTACAACATGGTGGGTGGCACAGCGATTGGCTGCTGAGCGTCGCGAGCTTGAGCGGGCGCAAGGCTAGTCGGCAAGATTGACAATGTAGGCGGAGCTTAAAAAACTTTTAAAAGCGCTGCACCACAAGGCGGGAGGTTTAGAGCGGTGGGTGAAAAGGAGAATATCACATCGTTGTGTCTACAAAGCGTACTATGGATATGAAACTCGGATTACTACAATTTGAAAATCGGCCGACTGAGATAGAAGCACTAGCTCAGGTATGGAACTTCCAAAGTTTTGAAGTGATTCTTCAAATTGGATTAATATACTATTTCATTCATTCTGGATATTTAACAAACTGGATTTTATTAATTTTCACTAACCCAGCACGGGTTTGCAGATAAACTGGCGATAACACAAATGTGGATTATTTACCGATGGAAAACTTAATAAACGCTGTTTACTAAAGTGATACAGTCTCGATCTTAACTAGATTCTAGTTTGTAGCGTGACGCTTTAGATCCAAGTAGATCTAGATCTAGATCTGTTTCTTGATATAGAAATCTAGATCTAATGAACAATTAAAAACACTGATCTAGTCTCTAGCTGAAGTGCTAGATCTACAATTGAACCCGAAGTTTTCTAACTTAAATTACCATAGGCCATAGACTAGATCTAGAATACCTAGACTAGATCTTAGATCTAGATAGAGTCTAGATTATTTAGATTCTGGATCTAATCTAGATCTAGATAGATTCTAGTAGAGTTATCTTAGATCTTTTTGTGCGCGCGGAGCTTAAATTGTAAATAAAGTCCAGGATTTTTTTTTTAGATCTTGTTTTCATTGATTAGGTTCCGTAGCTAATCTAGAAATCTCGATATCTAGATACTTAGTTTAGATCTAGAATCTAGATTCTAAATCTAATATAGATCTAGAAGTATATTCTAGACTAGAGATTAGGCCCTGCCCTACAACCCTCGCGGGTTTACGCACCGCTGTTGAGTCTAGAATTTTGAGATTCTAGATCTAGAATCTAGATCTAGAAGTCTAGATGTAATCTAAATCTTCTATAGAGTTAACATCTGTTGTGATTCAATAAAAATAGGTATCTAGATTCTAGATCTAGACTCTCTACTTTGTTTTTACTGACCTGCGCCTAAGGCTTAGGCTTAGTCTAGCCGAAGCGGTACAAATAAAAACATGCCGTTTTAACATTTATCGCTTTAAGAAAACATAGATTTACAAGAAAACGAGGACCTGGATTATCTAGATCTAGATTCGACTTAGACCTCTAGAAATCTAGATCTAGAATGTAGATATCTAGACTATTCTAGATATTGATAGTGCTTTTTAAAATAACTAGAATCTAGACTAGCTCCAGATCTAGAATCAAATTCAAATTTATTCAAACAACGGTTACAATTGTAGCCACAAACGGCCTTTTCTAGACTTGTAATTAGGCGGGTGCTTTGTAGATTCTAGATCTAGACTAGTCTAGATTTTAAGGGCTTTACAAATTGTCTGTGCATTTATTTTTTTTAGATTTCTGACTGTTTTCGTGTTTTGGCGCAAGTAACCACGTGCACTTTATTTTTCCGAGCTCATTAGTTTTTCGGTAGACTCTTTTTTTTTCCTTGCGGGTTTTTAAATTAAAAACATTTTCACCATTATTTTTATTTTTTTAGGTTAAACATTTTAACTCGCCTACAACCTTCAATCTCTATGTTAAACTTCGGTTTAGGCCTAACTTCGATATTCACTCCGCGTTGCCTCTCACGGCGGCGGTGGCCTTGCGGTTTATCGAGCTGTGTGAGACAGCTTGACTCGCGCGATCGCGCAGCACTCTCCCGCAGTGTGAATTCGACCTACGGGTGCTGGGTCAGTAAGCGACTGTAGATTTATCTTACGTAATAATTTCAAACGCCACAGCTAGCTGGTCTGTTAGCGGTATTTTTAAGAACGAGCTATTTTTAAGAACGACTTGTCCGTGCAAAAGCTTATTCTGCTTTTCTTTTTTGTCACTTAATTTCTGTATTTAGATATAGATTTTAGTATCAAAATGTTTAGATGCTTTTATTTGTGTTACCCTTTCTTATACGCCTGGATCTCAGTAGATATAGTACTAGTTTTTTCCTGCCTGATTCAATTTGGGTTAGTCTAGCTATACATGAAAAACTCACCATTCTTTCTAGAATAAAACTTAAATTACCAGAACTGCTTGTAGGTCCAGTCTTTGTTTATTCTTTATTACAAGTATATTTTTATTTATACTAACTATTTGCTATTTATTTTCAGAGAAGGAAAGTTTTAAAGAACAACACAGGCCCTCCAGAGCGTCGCAGCACAATCAGCACAAGTACAATGCTGCCTAACAACTTCAACAACCTGCGCATGCGAAATCTATCTGGCGGCAGTAGCGGTAGCGCCACCAGTGGCAGCAGCTCCAACTCAGCAGATCAGTATTCACAGATGTTCCTGTCAGAGCTCCCATTCAACAGTGGTTCCTCTACCGTCCCTGCCATTCGCAATGCCGGCAGCAACTGCAGTTCCAGTTTGTCTCACAAGAAGCTTGACCGTAGCTGGAGTGATAATGACAATGATCGCAACGGTTCACATCGTTCAGTGAACTCGAGCAGGTACAAAACAGAACTGTGCAGGCCATTTGAGGAGAGCGGCTCCTGTAAATACGGTGATAAGTGCCAGTTTGCCCACGGTTACCACGAACTGAGGAATCTTGCCAGGCACCCAAAGTACAAGACCGAACTCTGCCGTACTTTCCACACAGTTGGTTTTTGTCCATATGGTCCCAGGTGTCATTTCATCCATGAGGAGGAAACAAAGCCAGGTGATGCCTCTCCTAAACTTGCCAGGTCTGGAAGTGTCCAGTCATCCAGTGGTAGCAGCAGCCCATCCTTAAGTCCTTCTGGTAGCGACGACAGTGTGTTCAACTACCAACAGGACACCAGCCCCCCTATGACGATTGTGAGCGTTGACAACCGTCATTTCAACCCCCTCACTGTCAACACAAACAGCAACAACAGCAGCAATTTTGATCTTCAAGCTTTGAGCAAGCAGTTCAGCCAGATTAATATGAATCGCAACAACTGCATGGATGTATTCACCACCAACAACAACAAAGAGCCCAAGATCATAGGTTCGGAGGAGCACGACATCTTCAGTGAGATTACAGTCTTCAGCGCAGAAGAGCTCGACAACGCCCCCAAGCCTACAACCTCATGTGCCATTCAGTCTATGAGATTGGACAACTATCCTACACTAGTGGATAGCCCATCTTTCTGGCAGGACAGCCTGTTCTCTCAGTTTAGGCCTGTGGATGCATTCCACCATTCACCAACAGGTTCTGATGGTAGCAGTAGCAGCAGCAGCGGAAGTGAGTGTGGTGGCAGCACAGAAAGCCTAATCAATTCATTCACAGAGTGGAGGTGCTCTGTTGCGATTGGGCAGTATTGAACTTTTTAAAAGACGTACGAGAGGTTTTTAAAAATTTTGTATATTGTTTATTATGTGCTTGAATGTGTTTGTATGTTAATTTATGCAGCAGTGTGTGAGGGGAGGGGGACTACCTGTACATAATTTTGTGATGGTTGTTTTGTGTGAAAGGAATTTGCGCTGTGACTTCAATACATAGCAACCTTTGGACTTATGTGATGTAACTGTGTTTTTTCTCTTAAGATTTTTAATTATGGAAATAATGAGTGAATGGCATTTTACATTTTTGAAGATACATATTTTTGATACGAAAATTTGCAATAAATGTGTATTTTTCTCCTGAAATGTTGATGCCTAAATTGGGTGTAGATCTGAGTGCATGCCCTTCAGTTTGTGATGTTTTTTTTTTTTTTCAACAATTGAATCATTTTATGGCATTTAACCAATGTGAAAAACTCCACAATAGTGTTCATACTTAACATTTAACATTAAAAAAACAATTTTTTAAATCTTGAAAAAAAAAATAGATGCAGATCATCCATGCACAGCAGTACTTTAAAAAAATATTTAGCACCATCAGTATATTTTTGTCTGCAAAACTCATTACAAGCTGTCAAAAAACATAAGGGGTGTATTATGCATAATTATGAATCTGTTCAAAATATTGCCCTCAGATTGTAAATTCATACATTAATTTATTTTTGCCATTGCTAATTGCATTATGGCGACCAGCAAAGTATTTTATCAGGAATATGTGTGTAAAGCTTAACTTATAAAGAGAAGATTGATGGCCCATTTGTTTACCAGGCCTGGGGATTGTATAGTTCAGCCCACAGCTGAATCTAGTTCAAGGTTAAACATAACATACTAGGGGAGACAAGTCAGGCAGGTGTTGTCTCAGGGCTTACTTGATATGGTAAATGAAGAAAAAAAAACATAATTTTCACAAGTATTTCAATACAAATTTTTTTTTTAATTACACTTAAATTGTCAATTTCATATTTTTACTAAAAGTTTAATTATCTGTGAAATGTGAATCTGATGTATTTAATTTATTGCTATATTAGATACCCTTGGTGCTTTCATTGTTAACTCTTGATAATTGAAATCACTGAAGTTGGGTAATTTTTCACTTGCGGACCAATTATTTTCCCCAAAAAAACATTTTGTGGTTGACCATTGACTTATTCCAGGTCGTTCATTCAAGTATTATCACTTTCACACTGTGCTGCATGTATAATGGATGTTCACCAGAGTTGTGTGTCCTGTCTATTTCTAAGCCTGATTTCGATGGAATCTTTAGCGGGAATTCAGTTTTCCCCCCGATGGTGCCTTTCCGAAAGATGCCTTAGTGGTGTTTTTTTACATGCGAATTATTTTGCATGTTTTTTGTGTTTGATGAGTGGATGTGTAAAATAAAATCTATTTGAATAATTACTGGTTCCCCCTCCCATTTCTCATGAAAATTTACATTGTCATTATTATGCTATGCACTTAAAAGATTTCTATTGATTTTAGTTATTTTGTAGCTGATTAACTTCAATCAACTTTATGTTGAACATTGAATTAATTTTTGTTTAGATGGCTGATGTATAATACAGAAAAAACTGTTACCAAAAGTATCTGTAATCTATTAATCATATCTTTATTTATAATTTTTCTGTGGTTTGATTCCTTGCTTTAGCACAATTATTGTATTTAAAAAAATAATAATTTGTTTTTGAAACAAAAATTACTTTAAAAATATTTTAAAGAAATGTCATGTCTTATTTATAGATTATTTATTTCACTTTTTTGTTTTTACTTTTAAGTTATACTCCCCCCCTCCAGTGTATTTTGTGTGACACTATTTATAGGTTTTATTTGCAAAATCATTGTAACAAGCTTATTTTATCTTCTCACTTGTACAGTTATAATTTATTAAAACATTTCAAAATTTTAAGTAATTTTGAGAACAAAGTATGTTCGCTTGAATTTTTACAGCTAGTGGTTCTGAAAATCTTTCTCACACTGTGACCTTGGATTAATTAGTCTGAAGGCAGCTATTTTTTTCCCCCTTCACTCATATCTTTTAATCCCCTTGAGTTAAATTCTGTAAGTGTTCATTGTTACATTTTTAATTAATTTGTTCAGTTTTTAAGTTTTTAAATCTTAAGCAAGCAGCTATTTTTTTCCTTTTGATTCATATTGTCTTTATCCTGTCCCCTTCTGTAATTTTAGTGACACGCATGAGCTACATAAAGTCTTTACTTTTAGCTTTTTCAACCTTTTTAAGAATGAATTTTTCTCACCGGGATCATTTTACCAACAAATTTGTTAGGACTAGTTTCTTTTCCTTTACTATATTTTTTCTCTCTTCTAAATAATGTCCTTGGCACAAACTCAAAATCAATTCTTTGCATTCTGCACTAGACTTAACAGATAAGTTTCCCCCCCCCATTTGCCATTTAAGTAGGTCAGTAGGTCATCAACAGCTAAGTTAGGGGCTGATTACTCTGCTCCTACAGTCCCTTACCTATTCAGTTTGTGTTTTATATTTGGCATTTATCTTATCACAACACATTTTACTACCTTCCACACACATGTGTTGCAGTTAATATTCATAACTTTGGCATTTTGCAACATTAAACTTTTTTTTTTTTAACCATAGACATTTAACATTATTTATTCTGGTAGCTTCTAGACTGGACAACATCCATATTTCATGTGTACAATAACCATTGATGTATTTAATTTTTTAATATTGCTTTTAGACAGAAAAAAATACATTTTAACAAATACAAGACATTTGATTTGATCAATTTTATGTTAAAGCTAAATATAGAGCAATTCACACAGGCTTATTCTTGTGTCAAAGGTTTTGATATTTTTAACTGAAATTTTTTTTTACTAAAAAATTAAGGGGACATTAGTGGAAAGGGTGGGGCTGTAATGACCTTTGACACATGTATGGCCATGGTTTCCTTGTGATGCAGGTCAGCACTTAGTTTTTCTATTTTCTTCTCCTCTGGAGTCCAATTTTCATTGTATAGGTGTTTTTCTCTCCATCTTCTAGATTCTATAACTTATTGATTAAATTTTTATACTTGTATTGTATATCATGATTTTTTTTTTTTGTCTTGTGTTCTTGTGCAAGGGGTCCAGGAAATATTGTCTTTCTTTCTGTGCAGCCTTGTCGAATTTGTGCAGTACATTTTGTACACCAATACAGAACTTCATTTGAAGTTTTTTAACACAATCATATTTTTTTTTGTTTTTAAGTTTTGCGTGCAAGGTATGAGAGATGTGTGCATGATGGTGAATGTAGTGGTTGTTCGAGCTCTGGATTCCTTCTGAAACCATCAAATGATATATTATTATTATTACACACATGTGCACAATGGACCTCTTGAGATTTTAACTGGCATAGAGATTTTTATTATTAACCAAAGCAGCAATTTAAAAAAAATACTTGTGTACTCTGTGTTTTTGCCATGTACTAATAAAATTGCAATATTTTGTGAAATTACACCAGAGAGGCTTCATTGCATTTAATACTTATGGGTGTGGACTTGTTTTGTGGTTTCCTTTGGAGTAGGGGAGTGTTAACACGATCAACAATTGGTTAGATGTGGTCTGATGTGTAGCATTTGTAGTGTGGGGTTTTGAAGTCAAAACGAGGCATGTGACCTATTGTGACTACACGACACTCGGTTCTTGATGGTAAGTGGTGACCTAGTTATCCAGACGCCATGGAGCTTTCGTTAGTGGCCACTTCCTGTGTGTAAGTTGCATTGAGGGCATCGGGATGGCAGTTGGTTTCATCTAAAACTGTACAAATTACGATTTCGCAACAAGGTTGATTCACCGTAGATCTAAGTGTTGTACAGATAAGCCTCCACAGGAATAACTTGAAAATAAAATGAACAATAGATCTACTTGAACTAATTAATTCATAAAAGTAAAAGGTATCTCTTACTAAAACTAGATCCAGTAGAAATTCTGAGCTGTAACAGTAACAAGAGTTGCCTCCCTTGCAACACTCGCTTCTTACTGTATTTTTATAAGGCTAACAGTATATAAAGATAAGGCAGCGAAAATGATTTCATCTTGTAACTGTAAGGCCAAACAACGAAGCGGATTACTTACACTTTTTTTTGCCAGACTAGTTTAATAAAAAAAACGTTGGTTGACTTAAACAAAAAATATGGGTCAGCTGTCCTTGCATCCAGCATAGTCGGTAGCTGCGGTTCTTCAAGGTCACCCCCAGCCGTCTTAACATTAACATAAATGCTTTTGGTAGACCTGTCGCTTCCTTGTTCGTTAATCATGTTGTACCTTAAGGTTTAAAACATGCATGAGAAAACTGCAGTACAGTATGAGGCATATCTTTCGTGATATTGTATATATAAATATATATTCATATGTAGGCCTATATATATATATATATAGATTCTTATATATATATACTCTTACATTATAAAAGAAGCGAAGATTTGTGAATCGGTAACCCTTGTAATTATACCCAACAGATCACCTTATTACTTAAGTCTAAACCTACTATGATATATAATTATATATATTTACTCGAGTTTATCAGCGTAGCATTAAAAGATTAGACAAGAGAAATTTTGATCGTATTAATACAAGTCATGATCGGGAATAATAGTATGGGAGGGGGGGGGGTTGGGAATGGGTGTCCCATCTTCGCAAGTGTGATAAATCTGTTCATCTATGATGTATGTCATAAAATTATGACCATGTTTTTGCCAAAAGGTTTCATAACACACCTGAATATAGCTGTTCTAGTAATTATACTAATAACGATCCACCTCACATTTGACATAAACGTACATAAACTTTTGCCTCAATAGAGTTAGAAGGCCAACGCGCTTTCCGCTTCATTCAGTAAACAATAAAGTAATAGCAACTTGAATCAACAGATGTCATCTAGGTTTGTATGATTCAGTCGTGATGTAACACAGACTGCTAAGCTCAGGATGGTGTGTAGTTTTACTTTAATCTTCTATTAAAAAACTCCTTTTATAAGCAGATAGCCACTTGTATAGATTTGTAAAACGAAACCTCAGCTTTAACGTGCATTTCATAGAAGAAACAATGCAAAGATTATATCTAATGAAAAAAAAAATAATAAAAAGGAATAGTTAAAAAAAAAAGCTTCATAACTAGCACGGCTGCATAAAGTAGGTCAGAGGCTTTGCAGCACGGTCGCGATAAAAGACAACTTGTGATTGGATAATACGGCTCTTGTTTGATCTAGCCTGTATGATAGGCTGGAAAAAAGTTTATTCAATTTTGAATCTGTGCGGATATTTTGAATACACTTAGCCTAGGGGCCTAGCCTAGTAGAGCTGATGATTGTCCCTTTGTTTTCGCGATCAGAACATTTGCATGAAGTGACAATATTAAATCTTTATAAACTTGTGTATAGCAACTAGATTAGCCTCGATTAAAATTGATAAGATGTTGTTAAACTATAAAAAAAATGTCTAAAAAAAAAAAAAACAAGAAAAAATTGTTCATGGGTAAGTGAACGTGCCTCCATAAAAACAAGTTGATATTAGGGAAAAGGGGAGGTAAAAGTGAAATTAATTCTGAAAACCAGAGTTAAAGCAAGCTCAGCACAATCTTAACACACTGGGATTCTGCGATGATTAGAACTGTACTGTCGTTTTATTCAAACACACACACACACCTGTCTACACATAATGAAGTCTATATGGTTAAGTCATTCAGTACACAAACACACACATATAGGAATATATATATATATATATATATATATATATATATATATATATATATATATATATATATATATATATATATATATGTGTGTGTGTGTGTGAGTGCGTGCTTGATATATATATATATATATTTATATATATATATATATATATATATATATATATATATATATATATATATATATGTGTGTGCTATTGATATATAAGAATGAGGGGTGATCTGGAAAAAAAGTCACCAATTACGTGTGTACGAATCGTTTTCTTTTTAATTATACCCAAATGAAAGCTAGTAATGGATTTGTCTCGAGGGCAAGGAAGAGATCTATACTAGAGACCTCACGTTCACCATTCTAACAAGTGTAAGGAGGAGATCTATGGACTAACCAAGTCTTTTCTTACCGTGTAATTACTTAGTAGTTTCAAGGTTGATGTCGTGGTGATTATTTAAAGTGGGTTAAGATGTAACTAGGCCAGGTTAGGGTTAGTTGTGAGATGTGTTAACTAACACAATGCGAGTAGGTGATTATTACTTTTTTTGTACATGTTTTTTTTTCTCTCATGCATTTTTTTTTCAATTTTTTTTCTCATGCATTTTTTTCTCAATTTTTTCTCTTGCGTGTTTTTTTCCCCCACATAATTTTGAATGCATTACGGGTGATTATGTAACACTGTTTTGATTTTAAAAATAAATTCTTCATTGCGGGTTAAACATTCGGCTATTCAGAAAGTCTAGATGAATACGTCGAAAGAAATGGCAAACATATGCTTTCTTCCAACACAATATCAGGCTTTATAAATATGTCTATAGCACATACAGTATATGTAGTAGAAGCATAGTGTATGTACAGTAAATACAATTCAAGTTGTTGTCTTCGTAATGTTACATTTTCCCTCTTGTTGTTACTCTAATCAACGTTGCTAAAGTTTTAAAATGATGTTTATTCGTTCTGCAAATCAATTCAATTTTGTAAATCAGGCGTGGGTCAGTGTGGGTGTAGTGTAAAGGTATGCCATTAGAATGGTAAAGTTCTATAAAAAAATATAATACTTCTGTGTATTGTAATATTAATTCTTCATTACTGACTCAGGCACGTAGCACATTGGGTGATAAGCTTAATCTCGAATTAACTACATTTATAGCTTATTTTATGTATATAATACAACAAACGAAACCAAATCTCTATTGTACATACCTACGTAGATACGTTTACATTTATTCATAAAAGGCTTTTTATCTAAGGTCGAAAAGGGAAACAACTGCGATCAGTGAAAAAAATGCTTACGTGGTTTTTAACCCACAAAACGTCATCTGTGAGTTGTGCATGGAGACAGCCCAAACAACATACACAAAGCCATAAGGCTTCATTACGATTAACCGACTTTTTTAGGATCACGAGAGAGCACGGACAAAAAAAAAGAGAAAAAAATATAACACTAGAACAGCCGAGCGTTGAAAACTGACCGGCCCTTGATAGGGTTTCGTTTGTCATGCCAGCTCGACATACAAGCTGTTTGGTGGCTCTATTGTACATTTTGTTCTTCGAATGGGATTTTTAGGCATATATATATATATGTATATATATATATATATATATATATATATATATATATATATATATATATATATATATATATATATATATATATATATATATATATATGCCATATATACATCATATAGAACATATATATAATATACATTATATAAACAATATATATATATATATATATATATATATATATATATATATATATATATACTATAGGGTGGAGGGGAGGTGGAGGGGGAGGTAGAGAGGGTCAGTGACCTATGTAAAAGTAAGAAAACAATAGGTTCAGAACAACATACCGTTCAAAGTTACAGTTGTGTACACTTTGTGTTTGCACTGGTGTTTTTCACCATTGATGAAATGTGACTTCAAGACTACCGTTTTATTTTGATCATTGTAACAATGAAGTGGCGATCTTTTTTTTTTTTTTTTAATCACACTTTAATCTCTTTACAACAACACATTTTCTTCTAAAAATACAATTTTTCCTAGTCTTGAAGTTGACATTTGAAGAAATTAGATTTAGATTTGTTGTTTTTTCCCCACAGAGCCTAAACCAATGATTATTGTTTGGTCAAAGTACGAATGCCGGAACTCAACGTAAACGTTCACTGTAAACAAGTCAAGCAAAAACACAGTATTTATTTACGTGCCAGTCTTACGCAATGTTTAAATTTCTCCACGCGTGAATGGTTTCGCCGGACAGTGTCAAGTTAACCAACAAACAAACACCGCCCGGGCAGCAATGTTCCCTCTAAGGACCAAGAGTGTGTGTGCAAAAAATATGTAGTGTGCGCGGTGCTAAAAATGACTTGGGCAAAATAATACGTATTTTTAGTCTTGCAATTAAGCATAATAATGAAGGCATGCATTTTGATAAATTAATAGTATAATGTGTATGACTAATGAAACGTATGCAATTAAATGGAGACACGAATACCATCAAAATAAAAAAAAAACTTATAAAAACTTTCAGAGTTATACTTAGACAACAAGTTATATGGTCGACTTACTATGTTAAAGTAAGACAGTCATATGGTAATAATGCTAATACCATAACGGTAATACAAACACAATAGTTTAACATATGCAACATTTAATAAAGCTGACTTAAAAACAAATATTAGCTAACCTTTCAGGGGCATTTATTGCAATTTCTCGCGTCTAACCTTGCATTGCTTCCACACCTTATATGCTTTGTTTAAATCCACAT